CCTCCTGTGGCAGGAGCCCAGGAACCTGGCACCGGTGACCCCTGTCCTGCGTGGCGTCGCACCACGGCCAGCACAGGCCCAGCCCGGCCTGGGTCCTCTGCCTGGCGTCCATGCGGTGTCCCCGGGCCTGGGTTCCCATTCGGACGCCCGCCTCGCCAGGCACCCGGACCTCACCCCCCTCCAAGACTGCCGCGACTCCTGCCCGCATGGTCACCTGAAGGCTGCCCAGCACACATCCTGGCACCCAGGCACTCCCTGCGGGTGTGCCGGCAGCCACCAGCTGCCCATGGCTCTCAGAGCTGGCTGACCGCCTTGCCCCACTGGTGACAACCTACCCTCCAGCTGCGTCCACCACAGCGTCCACCGGCCTAGAACTGCCGGGACCCGGCCTGCCCCGCCCCCTCCTGGATGGGCTCCCTGGCCTCTGCCCCTTGGGGCGGGGCTGGCCGGCAGCGCTCCACAGCGCCCCCTGCAGGCCACGCGTGCTCGGCGTCTCCCTCTGGACCCCATTCCCATCTTTGTCTACCTTGCGGCCCCGGGCGCCGTCCTCCCTGGCTGTGTCCACCCGCCTTTGAGCCCAGTCAGTATTTATTGAGTGAGGAACTTTAGGCCAGCTCCACCCCTCGCACAGTGTGGAGGTCTCGGAGCGGGGCCCGGGGAGGCCGGTGGTGAAGCCGCACCCCGGGCTGGGGGCCGGGCGTCCGTGGGGCTCTCTCCGAGGGTCCCATCCGGCAGGAGCCCGGGCCTTGGACAGCACCCGGGAAAGGGTTGTGGGCAGAGCCTGGATGGAGCCCAGGGAGAGCCTGGGAGGTGGCTGAGGGGCCGCTGCCCCTTTCCTGTGTCCGGTCCCCGCCTGTGTCTGGGGGGTGGCAGGATCCAGCCTAGAGCAGACATAGCTTCATGGAGAGCATTTGTGGGTGGTGAAGAGCGGCCAGAGTCACGGCAGTGGCCCAGGGGTGCCCGCTGGACAGGGAGGGCATCCCGGTTGTCAGGCCTCTGAGCATCGGTGGGTGGGTGAAGAGCCACAGGCATGAGCTGGCAGGCTGCTCAGCCAAGGGGCAGGCCGGGAGGGAAGGTCGTGGGGGGCTGGGGCAGAGGACACAAGGCAGGCAGGCCCTGCTGAGGCCTGTCCTGCCTCCTGGCCGGGGCCCATGGGGGGGCTACAGTGGCCCCTTCCTCAGGGCAGGCCCAGTGGGGACTGTGGGAAGAGCCTGGACCGGCCGCCCCTCCTCAGCCACAGACACGGCAGAGCCCAGCACAGCCTGCGGGCACAGGAGGTGGACACACAGCCCCACAGGCCCCGGCCCTGTAGCCTGGTGGAAAGTAGGGGCCAGGAGGGGCGAGCCGTGACCCCGGAGCGCTGGCAGGATGTGTGCAGAGTGACCAGAGGACTGAAGACAGGAAGACGCTTCCGGTCTTGTCGGCTCCACGTGCTGGCTCTGGAGTGCTCACGATGCAGAGGCCAGAGGGGCCCCCTCTCTGCCGCCCGGCCCCCAGGGAAGGGGGCCATGGGGGAGGGGGGAGAGGGAGGGGGTCAGGGCCTCCACAGTGCAGCTCAGAGGGAACTGAGGCTGGGGCGTGAGTGGAGCACACCAGTTCTCACAGCCTGGGAGCAGGATTGCTTCCCGTGGTCTCCACGGCCCCTGCTCAGGGCGGCCCGGCCTACGCCGAGCGGCACTAGGGCCCACCACTGCCCGCTGGCTGAAACGCACCGGCGTCCATCCCAGAGGGGCCATCACACCCCCCCCCAAGCCGGCTGGGGTGAGGAGGACGGGGTGGGGGGCAGAGAGGACTGGAGGGGCTTGTGCCGACCCAGCAGCCAGGCGGGCTGACCGCAGGCAAGGCCAGGGCCAGGCTGTATGGGGTCAGGTGGGGTGCTGAGGGGCTGGGCCTGGTGGAGACGGCTCTCCACGCCCCACTCTCTGGAGGCCAACTGATCCCAGGCCTAAACTCCCCCACATCCGCCCGCAGCAACTGTGCCTGCTGCTCCCCACTCACAGACCCGGCCAGGGCATCCGGGCAGATCAGCACGGGGACCAGCAGCTCCTGGGTGGAGGCTGCCAGGTGGGGCGAGGTTCGGTGCAGGGGCCCGGCTAGCACTGGGTGGCAGTCTGCTCTGGGTGGCCAGGGGGTGCTGGCACCCTGGGGACTGCGGACGTGCTGGTGGACTCTGAGACCTTTCTGAGGAGGGTCCAGCAGCAGCTCCACATCTGGGAAGCCGACGCTCCCCAGCCTTCTTGCCTGGCCTGGGCCCTGGCTGGAGGGCCTCAGTGAGCACTTGTGGCTATGGGGTGAGCACTGGAAGGCCAGGGCCAGGCCAGGTGAGTAACAGCCTCTCTTCTCCCCTGGCAGGGGGCAGGGCCCATGGCAGCCAGGGCCTCCCGGTCAACAGGATCATCGACGTGGACCTCGTCACTGGCCCGGGCCCCGGGCTGGGGCTGCGGCTGGGTCCCCGGGGGAGACCCGGTGGGCCGCAGACGTCAGACCGGCCTGGCCCGAGCCCCATCCCAGGTGAGCCCTCCGCGCACACCGGCACGCACCGCGCCACCTTTGTCTGAAGCTGCCCTCACCTCCACCCCCCCCAGCCTGGCCCGGCCTCCATCTCAGACGCACAGTCCAGAGGCCCTGGACATGAGCCATCCTCACCACACTCAGGGGCCAGGCTGGGCCTCAACCTCCACAAATAAAGTATTTTTGAGGACACATCATGTGTTGGCCTCGTGCTGAGTGCCTGGGGGGCGGGCAGTGCTGCCCATTCAATGAGAACACATGGAAAGTCAGCCCAGGAGGCCAGCAGTGAGGCCAAGGAAGTGGAGGAGAGGACGCTGGCTCCCAGCCCTGTGGGAGGGCACGAAGACTGCCCGAGAGCCTCCAGACCCAGACCCTGACCTCCTCTCCCTGTCCCTTGCAGATTGGGCCTGGTCTTTTTTTTTTGTCAGTCATGGGGATTGAACTCAGGGCCTGGGCGCTGTCCCTCAACTCTGCAACTCAAGCCGAGCACTCAACCACTTGAGCCACAGTGCAACTTCTGGTTTTCTGGTGGTTTTTATTGGAGATAAGAGTCTCATGGACTTTCCTGCCCGGGCTGACTTTGAACCGTGATCCGCAGATCTCAGCCTCCTGAGTAGGATGACAGGCGTGAGCCACCGGCATCTGGCTTTTTTTTTTTTTTTTTTGACGTACTAAGGCTTGAACTCAGGGTCTTGGGCCCTTGCTCCATTTCAGCTGGAAGCTTCTACTTGAGTCACACCTCCACTTCTGGCTTTTTGATGGTTAAAGATTAGAGTCTCAGATTTGTCTGCCTGGGCTGACAGCACCATGATGCTCAGACCTCAGCCTCCTGAGCAGCTGGGATGACGGGCCTGAGCCACCACCCCCTGGCTAATCCTGTCTTTTGATGGCTGCCCCACTCTGTCTCAGGCCTAGGCTGGCCGCTGGTGGGGTAGAACTTGGCTGGTCAGTGTTCTGACTCCTGGGCACCAGCCTGGGGTCTTCTGGCCCCAGTCCCTGCACCCTGACCTCGGCCTCTTAGCAGGTGGTCGTGAGGGCATCTCTGGAGGGACAATCCAAGCTGAAGCCTGACTTCATTCAAGGTCCAGAAAGAGGGTCGGGCATGTGCAAGGCCCTGGACAGAGTATTCCAGCTATGGCAAGAGCCCTGCCAGGAGGAGAAAGCTGTGTGCCACAGGGTGGGGTTGAACACAAGGACTGTGCCTCAGCCTTCGGGGAAAGTCTCAGCAGTAAGCAGCCGCTGGGGAGGCGGAGGTCTACCTGGTGACTATCCTCGTTGTGTTGTGTATCAGAAGTCATCCAGGAGCCTGACACACAGCGTGCTGCTGTGGATGGGTCCAGAGAGCAGTTCCTGGTAGACTGCCTACGAAGGGAGTCAGTGCTACCGTGTCCTCAGTACCGCGTTGACCCAGCACCACCTGGCCCTCAGTACCGCTTTGACCCAGCACCACCTGGCCTTTGTATCATCTTATCTTCTGCAACACCTTGCCCTTAGCACCCCCTGTGCCAACCTTTGTCCAATTTCATTCTCTCTGCACAGATGGGAGAAATGGAGGCCTGGAGAGAGTAGGGTTTGGGGTACACAGAAAACTTCAGTGCCCGGACAAAGTACAGGGGAGCCCGGTGTGGCTGTGCGGCCGCAGCTATCTCAGGGGAGTGGACGCTGGCTGGAGGCGGCCCCACCGCTGTCCAGCCAGCATTGTCGTCCGGCCGCAGGCAGGGCAGGAGGGCTGTGCGGTGCAGAGACTGAGACTGCCGGCCCAGCTCTGGTCCTCTAGCCTGTCACCACTGGCAGCAAGAGGTGGGAAGGCTTCCTGAAGGAGGCAGAGCATCTGCAGGGGTCCTGGACACCCCAGGGCTCCGGTCTGGGCTCATGACAGTGCTCAGCTCTGGGCATGACCCCCTCCCTGAGCTGACCCTGTGTGCTGTGGGGCTCTGCCTCCCCCGGTGCCACCATCTCTGGCAGGGGTCCCTGCCAAGTCAGTGCTGAGTCGCTGTGTGGGCCTGCAGAGACTCAGCGCAGGGGTCACACACCAAAGAGCTCAGCCCTCTAGCCTATGTGGGATCTGAAGCCGTCTGGGGGTCCTGGAGCTGGCCAAGGAGCCTGGAGCCAGCCGGGGATCCCGGAGCCAGCTGGGGGGTTCTGGAGCCGGCCAGGGGTCCCGGAGCTGGCCAGGGGTCCTGGAGCCGGCTGGGGGGTTCTGGAGCCGGCCGGGGGTCCCAGAACCAGCTCAAACTGGCCAGGGTCAGGCCTGTCCTGTCCATGTGGCCCCACACACTTCCCAGAAAGGCTCCAGGCTGAGCGTGAGGCTGGCATCCAAGCACAGCCGGGCTGAGCCCCGTGGGAGCCACTGGCAGAGCAGGATGCAGGGCAGGGGTAGGAGGGGGTGCGCGGCTCCCCACGGGGCCATGGAGGCAGCCGGGGTTAATCATTGCCGCGAGGCCTTGACCCCACCTGCTCGCACGCAGCCCTGCTCCCGCCTCCACCACCCCTGTGGCCAGCCAGGAAGAGCCATGGGGAGCCCGGCCTGGGTCCCCAAGCCCTGCTCTCTCACCTCCCCCGGCCCCTGCGCAATCCTGCTGCTGCTGCTGCTGCTGCGGGGGCCCCCGGCCAGTGGGGTGAGCGCCCAGCCACGCTGTGGGCTTGCTCTGGGCCCTGGGAAAAGGCGGGAGGGGTCGGGACAGCGGCGTGGAGTGGGCTGAGGCTCGGCTGGGAGCAGAAAGCCGGTCCTTGCCGGGAGCCACGGGGCGTAGGAGGCCAGGGCGCCCGAGGGCCCGGCCCCACGAGGCCTCCCCTGGGCCCACTGGCCCCATTTGACCTGTGCCCTGTGGCTGTGGGGCCCCGCCTCTGCTGGGCCAGGGGTGGGGGCACTCAAAGGGTCTCCAGCTCTTTCTGGCCACACCAGGACTTCCCGAGGGGCAGCTTGGCTCTCTGGCTGTGCCACGGGGCCAGCGGTTGAGTGACTTGGGCTGGGGGTGGAGGCCCAGCGCAGGCCTTGGGAACAGTCAGTGTCTCTCAGAGGCCCCAAGAGGGACACCGAGGCTGGGTGTTGGCCGCCTGCCCACACGGTGGGCGGGCTGGGGGGAGGGGTCTCCCACAGTGCACCCATTGCCCTTTGATGCCCCCAGAACCATACGGATCCCCAGGGACTGAATGCCACGGACATCCCTGGGATCTACACAGTCCCTGCGACCTCTGTGACCCCCGAGGCCACAGCCACTGGGGCTCCAAAGGCTGTGACCCAGGGGTCCCAAACCGGGGGTCTCTCTCCTCTGCCCAAGGCGGCCCCCTCCGGCCTCAGCCCCCAGGGCCCAGGTGAGCGGGCTGCGGGGAAGGCCCTCCGGGTGGCGCGGGCGGGCGTCTGTCGGGGCCGGCCGGTGGGGGACCTCGCTCTGGGCTCTTGCAGTGCTCACGGAGGCCGGGCAGCCCTGCAGATTCCCCTTCCGCTATGGTGGCCGCGTGCTGCACTCCTGCACCTCGGAGGGACGCGCCCGCAGGAAGTGGTAGGCTCCGTCTGGGGCAGAGGCCAGCGTCCGGCCGGGTCCGGCCCGCCCACGGGGGCTCGGACGCCACGTGACCCCTCACACTGCTCCCCAGGTGTGCGACAACTCACAACTATGACCGCGACAGGGCCTGGGGCTACTGCGTGGAGGCCGCCCTGCCCGCGGAAGGCCCAGGTGGGTGCCGGGGCGGGGGGGGGTGGGGGACAGCCTGGGCTCCAGCCGGGAAGTGGGGGTCAAAGCTCTGAGCGAGCCAAGAGGAAGAGGGGAAGGCTCGGGACAGCACCTCTCCCGGGAGAGGCCCGGGTAGCGCCACGGCCATCCGCGGGGCCACGGCGCCCTCTGGTGGTCAGACCCCAGAACGCTGTGGCCACACACAGGAGCTGGGGTGACCACGGGCCCGCCTTCCCTCCCTGGCCACCGCGCCCCTGGTAGTGTGGGTTCTGTGCTCAGAGCCCCTGAGCAGGTGGAGGGCGCTGGGAGGAAGGGGAGGCCGGTGCCCCTGAGGACAGGGTGAGGAGGGGGGCATCTGAAGACGCAACAGAGGCCCTTGGCAAGCCGGTGGGTGATGAGGAGCCCCAAGACGCCTGTCCCCATGCCTCACTGCCCTGTGTGTCCCCAGCGGTCCCTGACCCCTGTGCCTCTGGACCCTGCCTCAATGGGGGCACCTGCTCCAACACCCAGGACCCTGTGTCCTACCACTGCGCCTGTCCCCCGGCCTTCACAGGCAAGGACTGTGGCACAGGTAAGGGAGCCTGGGGGCTTGGGGACCCGAGGCGGGCCCCAGTGGCCCGGCGAGGAGAGGGGGCCGTGGGGGGGGGACTGCAGTTTCAGGACATGGGGCTCCTTGTGTGGCCTCCAGAGAAATGCTTTGACGAGACCCGCCATGAGTACCTAGAGCCGGCCGAGCGCTGGGCCCGGGTGCAGGGGGCGCGTGTGGAGCAGTGCACCTGCTGGGAGGGCCGGGCTCGCTGCGAGCATGCGCGGCACACAGGTCTGACTGGGGGCGGGGAGGCCTGGGCGGGTGGGGTGCAGGGCGGGGGGCACGGGGCGGGGGGCACGGGGGGCACGGGGCGGAGGGCGGAGGGCGGGGTCCCACGTGGCCCCTGCTTAGCTTCCCAGCTCCCCTCCAGAGTGCCCCAGCCACCCGTGCCTCAACGGAGGTACCTGCCACCTGATCGTGGGCACTGGGACCAGCGTCTGCGCCTGTCCCCCAGGCTATGCCGGGCGGCTCTGCAACATCGGTGAGCTGCGTGTCCACCGCCCCGCGTGGGGTGCGTTGGGGTCCCCCACGGCCCCTGCCTCACCCCTGCCCTGTGCCACAGTGCCCGGGGAACACTGCTTCCTGGGGAATGGCACCCAGTACCGCGGCGTGGCCGCCACCGCCGCCTCGGGCCTGGGCTGCCTGGCCTGGAACTCGGAGCTGCTTTACCAGGAGCTGCACGTGGACTCGGTGGGCGCCGCCGCGCTGCTCGGCCTCGGCCCCCACGCCTACTGCCGGTCAGCACCCGGCGGCCGCCTCATTCTGGGGCCAGGGCGGGGGGCAGGGCAGCCTCTCAGTCTGACAGGACCCAGCCCCGTGGGGCACGCCCAGGCGCTGCCCCTCAGGAGGCCCACAGGGCTCCGCACCTCGTGGCGGGTGTCGGGTCGGACCCCGCCTTCTCCGACCTACTGCCTGTCCCCAGGAACCCAGACAAAGACGAGAGGCCCTGGTGCTACGTGGTGAAGGACAACGTGCTGTCGTGGGAGTACTGTGACCTGAAGGCCTGCGGGGGTGTGGCCCGGGGCTCCCCAGGAGGGGCTGGGAGGGCGCCTGCGGGATTCGGTGTGACCCTGTGACCTTTGCTCCCAGAATCCCTGAGCAGAGCCCAGCCCCCGGCCTCCGGGGTCCTGCTGGCCCTGCCAGCGCCGGCCACACGGCCGACCTGCGGCAGGAGGCACAGGAAAAGGACATTCCTGAGGCCGCGCATCGTGGGCGGCTCGTCCGCCCTCCCCGGCTCCCACCCCTGGCTGGCCGCCATCTACATCGGCCACAACTTCTGCACAGGGAGCCTCATCCACACCTGCTGGGTGCTGTCCGCGGCCCACTGCTTCTCCAACAGGTGCGTGCTGGCCCCCACGCCGCGCCCGCTGCCCGGCCATCCCCCCCCTACCACTTCCCCACCCCACCGCACACAACAGCTGTGTCACCGGTGGGCCCGTCCTGGTCCCCGTCCCCGGTGACCACACCTCCTTTGCTCCTGTGGGACCACCCCAGCCCTGCTGGGCACTGGGGTGCAGAGCCCCTCCTGTGGGGCTCAGGGGTGGGGCATCCACAGGGGGTGCACCTGGGCGGGGGGCTGGGTGTGGTTCTTCCCTGGCTCAGACCCCGTCCCTCCTGGAAATGTGGTGTGAGGGGCGCCGGCGAGGGGCCCACATCCTCCTGGCCCTGCTGCCCACGTGTTTAGAGCACCCCCTTGGAGAAGGGAACCAGGGGGATGCACATTAGAGCTCCCAGGCCCTGCCAAACCAGGGAGACTGAGGCCCGGCCCATTCTGCAGCGGCCAGCAGTGGGGGGTTGAGGCCCATGCTGCTCCCACAGGGAGACATTGAGTCTGAGCAGTGCAGGGAGGAAAGCCCTGGCCGGCCCTGGGAAGGCTGGGCTGTGTCTGGGGATGCCGCCGGGAGGAGGCTCCAGGCCGGCCAGGTGTCCATCCCCAGCACAGCCTGGAAGGCACAGCTGGGGTGTGCTCTGGGGTTGTCGGAGCTGGTGGAGTGTCAGGCCCAGGCTCTGGTGGCAGCTGTGGTCCGCTCCTGAGTGTGGCAGTGGCTGGAGCCTGGCACCGGGAGCCTTCACAGGGACGCAGGCCTTCCGCTCTGCCATGGTGGGGGAAGCCAGCCTGGGTGGCCTGAGGAGAGGCCCAGGTCCCTGCTCCGTCCACCCCGCTGTCCAGCCCCCCCAGGGACAGTGTGTCGGTGGTGCTGGGCCAGCATTTCTTCAACCAAACAACGGACGTGACACAGACGTTCGGCATTGAGAAGTACGTGCCCTACTCCCTGTACTCCGTGTTCAACCCCAGCAACCATGACCTCGGTGAGTGGGCCCCCCAGGTCAGGGGACCTGGGTACCCCAAATCAGAACCCTGATGCGGGTGGGAGTCAGAGGCACGGCCTCACTGGGCAGGAGGAGGCCTGGCTGGCTCCTTCCCTAGCCTCCCGGTATCAGCCCCTGTGAGCCTGCGGCGGTCCCCCAGGACCCCATCCACCATGGGCCCCCACTCCTTAAGCTGACCCCTGGCCTCTTTCCACCCAGTCCTGATCCGGCTGAAGAAGAAGGGGGATCGCTGTGCTGTCCGCTCCCAGTTTGTCCAGCCCATCTGCCTGCCCGAGGCCGGCAGCTCCTTTCCTGCTGGGCAGAAGTGTCAGATTGCAGGCTGGGGCCACGTGGACGAGCGTGAGTGGACGGGAGTGGCAGGTCGGGGGCTGGGCCACGCAGATGAGCGTGAGTGGACGGGAGTGGCAGGTCGGGGGCTGGGCCACGTGGATGAGCGTGAGTGGACGGGAGTGGCAGGTCGGGGGCTGGGCCACGTGGATGAGCATGGGTAGCTGTAGCCCAGCACTGGCCCCGGGGGCGGTGGCCGGGGAAGTAGGCCGGCTGAGCCAGCATGTGTCCTGCAGACGTGAGCGGCTACTCCAGCTCTCTGCGGGAGGCCCTGGTCCCCCTGGTGGCTGACCACAAATGCAGCAGCCCGGAGGTGTACGGCGCAGACATCAGCCCCAACATGCTCTGTGCCGGCTATTTTGACTGCAAGTCGGATGCCTGCCAGGTGAGCCGTGCGCTGCACCCGGCCTGGACCGCGCGCTGGGGCTCCGTGGAGTCTGCCACCTCTGGGCGTGCCCAGACCCGGGTGGGACCCGTGGCGGGGATGTGCCTGCCGCACAGGAACTTACTGGACGAGTCTTCGTGGCCAGGGGAGAAGCCTCCTCTATCAGTTGGGAATACTGAGGCAGAGGTGGCTCAGGGTCAGATACCAGAGGACGCTCAAGCGCCCAGCCAGTGGCTTAGGACGGCCCTAGCGTCACGCAGCAGGCCCATGCTGTCGGAGGCACCTCCGCAGCCACCCAGGTACCAGTGGGTGGCGCTGATCTGCGACTCTGTTGCAGGGGGACTCGGGCGGGCCCCTGGCCTGTGAGAAGAGTGGGGTGGTCTACCTCTATGGTATCATCAGCTGGGGAGACGGCTGCGGGCGACGCAACAAGCCGGGCGTCTACACCCGCGTAGCCAGCTACGTTGACTGGATCAATGACCGCATCAGGCCTTCCAAGCGGCCTGCAGCGCCCCCCTGAGACCCCCAGGGGGCGCAGCGCCCTCCTGAGACCCCCCAGGGGCGTGCTGCTCGTTCCCTCTCTCCATCTCACCCGAAATAAAGATGTAGCCAAGAACCTGGCCCACCTAGCCGCCGCCCTGGCTCCCACGGGACACTGCCTAGGCCCGTGGCTGTGGACAGTGTGGCAGCTCATGGTTGTAGATCCCGCCACCACCCCTGGCAGGCCCCATGGGTGGGGTGGGCAGCCAAGGCCACACCTGAGCTGTCCCAAGGCAGGACGTGGGAGTCCACTCAGGTGGTGAACGGGGGGCTGATGCAGCAGCCCCAGGGCCCTGACGCCCGAAAGACTACAGCCTCCCTGGGACTGCCTCCGGCCACCGTCGAGGCCATGGGCCGCTTCCCAGCGTCGCTCTGCCGTGACTGCTCTGAGGGGGCTGGGAGCAGGGCCACACACACACGTCACAGATGGTGACCACCTGGGCTGCCGCACCCCCTGGAGCCCGGTGGCCTTCATCCCCAGGATGCTGAGTTGGTAGAATGGGAAGTGGGGCCTGGGGGGGGGGAGGGAGCGTGGTGGGAACACGGGTCGGACCACCCAGCCCTGTGTGCGGTGGGAGGGGCTGGTCCAGCACAGGAACCCCTGCTGGAAACAGGGCGTGGCAGGGAAACTGGCCAGGGCGGGGCAGAGGCCAGCAGACGCCGCAGTGCCTGGTGCTGGAAGCCATTGGAACTGGGACCAAAGCCAGGGACACGCAGCCGCCATCCTGCCCCCAGGGGCCGTGGCCTAAGGAGGGCACAGCAGGTGGCGCCATAGCCGTTGTGTCCTCTCCGCCAGGCCTCCTCCGCAGGCGACCACAGGCGACCCGGGCCTCTCCCTCTGGGGAGCCACAGTCTGTGCTTCCCAGTTCAGGCTGGGCCTCAACCTGTGCCGCTTCCGCCCCGACAACTGCTCAAGTCTCCGTGCCGTACTTTCTCCTTTGCTTAAAATCCTGCCCATGGCCCTCAGGGCTCTGGAGCTGAGCAAAGTGTGCGCTGGTCACGGCCGGAAGGCAGCCGCAGTGTCTCAGGGGGTAGGCAGAGGGTGTGGCTCGGATTTCTGAACCCCTTTGCCTCACTGTAACACACCATTACCATTACTATCTTTGTGCTTGAACTCAGGGCCTGGATGCCCTCCCTTTGCCTTTTCACTCAAGGAGGTGCTCTACCATTTGAGCCATATCTCCAGTTCTTTTTGCTCTGGTTATTTCTGAGATGGTCTTGCTTTTTGGCTCTGCTGACCTGGATCATGATCCTCCTATTTACATATCGTATTTGCATATCTGTGATCCTCCTATTTACATATCACATTTGCATATCTGTGATCCTCCTATTTACATATCATATATTTACATATCCTGCCATAGCTGACAAGCTCAGACCACTGTGCCTTGCTATTGGTTAAAGTCAACTTTTTCCCTGGGCTGGCCTCAAGCCATGATCTTCCTGGTCACTGCCTTCTGAGTAGCTGGGGTTACAGGTATGAGCCCCTGCCCCTGGCCACTTCTCCCTCTTCTGCTGATCAGTGTACAGATTTCTCCTTGGATCCATTGATGTGACACCTGATACTTACAATCTGATATCAAGCCAGCCTTGCATTCCTGCAGAGGAGGGCATTGAGCTAGGTGTGTCTCCCATTTCCTTACAGGCTGAGCTGGGCTTGTCCGAGGGGCTCTGTCTCAGGAAGCTGATTCTGAGGAGAGTGTCTGGGGCTCTGAGCGCTTTGCATCGCATCAACTTATTGGGAGCCCTGGGAGGAGATGAGAGAGAGGGAAGTGACATTGGAGTGCTGGCTTCTGTGGCCTTCTGGGGCCACCTCAGTGTCAAGGATTGAATTATGACCTAAGATCTCTTAGTTGAAGTCTTGGCTTCAGGACTTGGGCTATAGCTATTTAGAGAGAATCTTTATAGACGAAGAAGATGCCTTCTAGACCTACATCTGGAAGAATCTTTATACATTGAGAAGAGGTTCTCTAGATTCATGTCCAGAGGCTCTGTTCCAGAAATGCCAATACCTGAGAGACAAGGGTTGAGGATGAAGGCAGGTGTCATTCAGGGGCCAGACAAGGGGGAAGAGGGAGATTAGTTAAATTACCAGCTTCTCTGCTCCAGAGGCTGAGTGGGTTACAGACAGGATGATAGGCCAGTAAGGGGAGAGATAGTGATATCTGTGTGTGTGTGTGTGTGTGTGTGTGTGTGTGTGTGTGTGCACGTGTGCATGCCAGTTCTGGGGCTTTATCTCAGATCTTCTGTTCTCGCTTGGCTTTTTCCACTTGCACCTGCTGCTCTGCAACTTGAGCCATGCCTCCAGTTCCAACTTTTTGCTGGTTAATTGGAGATAGAATCTATCAGATTAGTCGGCTTGTGCCTGCTTTGAACCTCAATCCACAGATCTTAGCCTCCTGAGCAGCTGGGAACGAGTCACTGGCACCTAGCAAATAGTCACCTCTTTTTCATGGCAGGCAGAGATCTTCCCTCCCTTCATGGTAGAGTCAGCCTTGAGTGGAGAAGAAAGAGACTGGCAAGTCTAGGCCAAGCTCACCCTGTCTTATAGTTCTGGACAAAAGCATTTGTAATGCTTAATGTGTCTGTGTGCAGAGCTGAGCAAGGTCAGCCCCAAGTTCAAGGCAGCAGAGGGACAGACACGGGATGGGGATGGAGGCTGGGTCTTCTCGCCGGCTCCTCATCACAACGCCACAGGCCCAAGGGAGGAGTCTGTGCTGTCAGCAGATGGGGTCTTCTCATCCTGAGAATGACTTGAGCCACCCCAGCCCGTGTTCTCTGCAGCAGAGCTAGCCGGAGAGGAGTCATGTATGGCCCAGCCGGCCCAGCTTCAACAAAGAGCAGTTGGAACTAGAGGGCTCGTTTAGGATTTCCCTTGACAAAAGGCTTAAGGAGCTGCTCACTCCCATGCACCCAGCCCTCACCCTGACCGGGCCCTGGGGAACAGACCCCTCTTGCTTGGGTCTAACAGCTGGGCCAGCCTGTTGGAATCCTAGCAGTTGCATGCTGGTTTTGCGTAGCAGTTAGAGTGGTGCTTGTGTTGGCTGCTTGGTGATTTTTCTGTCCTTGTTTTACATTTTTGATGTACTTATATCTTGCTTGGGGTTTTGCAGTTATGAGTCTGGATGAGATCAGCCTATACTTTTTGTTCTTACAGTCTTTGAATGGCTGTTATAACAAGTTAGTGTATTCCTTGTTTCATCAAACTTCTAGGAGAGATATGGTGTAAGATTAGAATGATACTTGGTAGTTGGTAGGATTCAGCCATAACAATTCCTGGCCTGATATTTTCTTTACTGGTTGGCACCTACCAACAGAAAGTGTTTTCAGTTGTAAAGGAACTAGCTGGGAACTGTGTTTCTTTCTAATCCAGCTGTAACAAGTTACACTTTTATGACCCGGTCTCATTCTTCACAGCTGTTGCCACTGAGTTGTGTGTTATCTTAATCCACTTGCAGTTGCTGTAACAAACACTGAGATAAGTAAACTATAAAGAAGTTTATTTGGCTTGCGCTTCCGGAGGCTGGGATCGGGCCAGCTGCCAGCATGGGTCTCAGGGCCACAGTCTGAGCCACACCACCGCTGTAGGAACCTGTGGACTGGGTTCTAATGCATGAACGTTGAGAGACACCATCCCGCGGTGGCAGTCCCATGAAGATTTTTTGAAATTAGCATGCATCAGCTGTACTCGGGGCTTCGTGTGACACTTCTGTGCACGCACAAAGGTCTCCCATCAACCTCTTGGCCCCAGTCCCTCTTTCTTATCCCTCCTTGTCCCCTTGAGATTGCCCACCGTGTAATCCCAGATGGATCAGTAGGTACTTTCTGCCAACATCTAGAGGATGTCCCACAGCTTTTGGCTTCCATTGCTGCCACCAAGAAATCTGGTTGTTGTTTTTTTTTTGTCGGTCGTGGGGCTTGAACTCTGGGCCTGGGCGCTGTCCTTCAGCTCTTCAGCTCAAAGCTAGTGCTCTACCTCTTGAGCCACAGTGCCACTTCCAGTTTTCTGGTGACTTATTGGAGATAAGAGTTTCATGGACTTTCCTTGCCTGGGCTGGCTTTGAACTGTGATCCTCAGACCTCAGCCTCCTGAGTAGCTAGGATGACAGGCGTGAGCCACCGGTGCCCAGCTCAAGAAACCTGTTTTAAGTGTAACTGCTATTTGTGGGGCCACCTGTGTGGGCATCGGCACGCTGCAGCATTGCTGTGGTACATGCAGATGTGGGTGATGGTGCTCTGAGGCTGAGTCCTGTATGCCGGGGTCTTGCTCGGGCTGGGTGCTGGGAGCTCAGTCCCCTTCCTGTGGTGACTTGAATCCAGGCTTCTCCTCTGAACAAGACTCCAGTGCTCTACAGATGCTGCTTATGTCATGAAGATTTTTCTGTGCCACAAATGACCTCAAAGCTCAGAGACATGAATTCAGTTCCTTTAATGTAGCTCATGCTCGCATGGGTTGGTCACCGGTGCGGGGCTGTGGGAGGCGGGTCTTCCGTGTGGGGCTGGGGGGTCCCTGCGTCCCTCTGTCGATGCCGAGTCAGTGCATCTGGGGCTGCTCGGCCTCTGAGGACAGAGGGCTGCTGGCTGGAGCCAGGCCGAGAGGGCCACACATTGCTCGCCCTGCCCAGCAGGCTGGCCTGCTCCCCGGGGGGGGCCTGTGCATCTCCACTGGCCTTCACTCACCAGAGCAAGCTGGGCTCGGGGTCAGAGCGGACCTGGGCTCTTAGTGGGCGGGGGTGCATGTTACACCTGAAGGGTGTTCCCAGAAGGGCTATTTGCAGATATCTTGATCCGTTTTGGGTTGCTATCACTGAACACTCCAAATTAGATACTTTAAGGTATTTGTTAGCATAGAGTTATTGTACACCTCATTGTAACATTTCTATACACACACACAACATACTCTGATCAAACCCAGCTCCTTCCCTCTCCCTATCATCCCTTCCCCCTCTCCAACACCCCACCCCCTTCTACCATCTCCTCCCCCCTCTCTCCCACCCTTCCTCCATCATCCCCTCCCCACTTCTCAAAACAACTGCAATAGTTCCCATTGTTGTATTTTCTTTTTCTTTTGTGAGTCATGGGGCTTGAACTCAGGGCTGGGGTGCTGTCCCTGAGCTTCTTTGCTGAAGAATAGCACCCTAGCACTTTGAGCCACAGTGCCACTTCTGATTTTCTGGTGGCTAATTGGAGATAAGAGTCTCAGGGACTTTCCTGCCCAGACTGGCTTTGAACCTCGAGCCTCAGATCTCAGCTTCCCGAGTAGCTCGGATGACAGGCGTGAGGCAGGCACGCCTGCTTCACTGTGTTCACTTCACGTTCACCCTTCTGCTCCGCTGGTACCCTTCCCCCAGCCTGCCCACTTTACTGTCCCGTGGAGACTGGATAATTTATGAAGAACGGAGCTGTGCTTGGCTGACAGTAGAGGCTGTGAAGATGGAGAAGGTGGTGCTGGCATCTCAAAGGACTTACTGGAGGTAGTGGGGTGAGGGAGCAGGCTGCCGGCTGGCTCTGGTCTCTCTTCCTCTTCCTGTCCGGACACTGCCCAACTTCCCGAACCCTGATCACATTCCTAAGGCCTCACCTCGCCATGCAGGCGACTTGTGAGTTTCAGGCTGCGGTTTGCGGGTGCTGTTGGTGCCCTGCTCTGGTGTGTTCATCGCTGCGGCGGTGCCGAGGTATGCAGCGAGCGGTCCAGCACAATAGCTGCTTTCTGGGACACATCAGCTTGCAGAGCACAGGTCCCATGGCCTTGGGAACCCCACACCCAAGCTTTGGCTCGGAAGCGGTGGTCCACACCTGCTCTGCTGTGAAGCCATTGGTCTGGCGGTGGCGGTGGCATCTTTAGCACCGTCTGTGGCTGAGCTGTCAGCGGCAGAGCCATGACGGTGGCTGTGGCTGCATGAGGCGTCAGGGCTTGGTGTCCAGAGCACATTGCAGTGGGGCCAGGCTGTCCTCCTGGGCCTTCTTGCTGTACCTCCGGTGATCGACGGCCCCAGCTTTCTGCCTTCCCTTCAGTTCATCAAGAGGCCCACCATCCTGCCCGTCAACTCATTCCTGACTCAGCATCATGACTTACGACCAGTGACCCTGGCCTTGGCACCTGGGGAAACTGAGGCACCGGGAGAAGGAGCCCCCCGCAGGGTCAGAGTTCTCGGTCAGACTCAGAAAAGAGCCAGGCTCTTGTGAGTGGTGGGTTTTCCCCGGCAGCCATGGCGCTGTCCTCTGGGGACATGTGGTGTGGGGGCGGGGAGCCGTCTGTCCCATGGCACCCGCATTTCCGGGGCCAGTGCGGGAGCAGGTGCAAGCGGCGGGCGTGGCTGGAGCCTGGGCCCGGGCCAGCCACCGGGAATGCAGCAGGACATGGCCCCTCCCTGCGGGGAAGAGCGGTGCCAGGCGCTGGGGCAGCGGACGCGGCTGGGACTCACCCCCAGCCAAGTCCACGGCGCTGCCCGGGGCCGGGCCGGGTGTGGGAAGCATGAATGGGGCCCTGTGGCTGGCAGCTGCTCTGAGGAGGAGCCGCCGGTGCGCAGATGTGGGGGCCAGGGCGGGGGACACAGGGGTACCAGGCCTGAGCCTGCTTTAGGATCAGGGGCTGTGGGTCAGCTGGGTCCTCACACGGCCACGCCTCGGGTTCTCGTGGGTATGAGGACCTGTCTGGCCTGAGGGGTGGGGACTGCGGGAACAGAGGTCTGTGCTTCTCTGGCAGGATGGGACGCTTACCTCCTTTCACCCCTCGTGGGCTGCAGCCCCTGGGTGGGCAGCGTGCGGGCCTCCGCTCCCAGCTTGGGTGCTCCTCTTGCTGGTGCAGGCTATCCCTGCTCGTAGGGCGGACAGCTGCTCCAGACTCGGAAGCTATGGGCTGTGGCTGCAGGCTGAGGAGACAGGAGCCGTGGGACCCCTGGGAGGGAAGGCTGCGGG